CTATCTCGCGGGCAGGCTCTTCTCTTTTTCGAATTACCAGTTAACTATTTTGCCTCTCATCACAGTGACGCCTACTTTTTTTTTTCTCACTTCTTTTCTGGGCATAATCAGCCATATACCCATTTGTACCAGATGGCTGTTATGGACAGACCATCCGCTATTATCATATATTTAACTTATTTATTATCAGCTATCCAATACAAAATGCGCGATGATTGGATCTCTCAATGAGAAGTTAAAAAAAAAAAAAAAAAAAAAAAAGGAGGCGCCTGGAACTAACAATATATTTATCGACACCTGTCCTGTCGGGACCCTGATTAGTCATCATCCAGGTAAAGAATCGCCGCAGCCAGCTCAAACTCCTGGACACGGAACACCCTGGCTACATATTTTTATACGATACCAGATCGTGATAGTAACCGATGACGGGGTGGGGGATTCGATTTTTTTCTTTCTCATTTTGAATTGGCGCTTATATCCCTCCATGTTGCTGGTCCATTTCTGAACGAGCACTGGTGGTTTTCAATTTATACAGATCTATATAGCCTCGTTTCCTCCGCCCCGATGAACGGATTTGAGAAGCATAGACTGGACGAGGATGCATTAGAGGAGAGGTCCCGGAATTGGATCTGGGCTCAGGACTTTCGATGCTTTTCGTAAGTTCCCCTCCTTAATTGTGCAACCTATTTCCACACTATCTATCCCCAACCACCACCTCACACGGTCCACAGATCAAACTCCCAAGGCTAACAACACCTTTTGAAAAACCAATCTATAGCTAAAACAAAACCCACATATACCACTTCAACTCGACGCGGCGGCCAATGGACCATCATCGTCTTCGCCTTGTGCGCCTTCCTTTCCCTGAACGAGCTCCGCACCTGGTATCGCGGTGTAGAGAACCACCACTTCAGCGTCGAGAAGGGCGTCTCGCGCGAGCTGCAGATGAACCTAGACATTGTCGTCGCAATGCCGTGTGACGCGTTGCGGGTCAACGTGCAGGACGCAGCGGGCGATCGGATCCTCGCCTCAGACCTTCTCGACAAGCAGCAAACTAGCTGGGCGGCTTGGAATCGTGAGCTGAATGGGGTGACTAGTGGAGGTGGACGAGAGTACCAGACGCTGAATGAGGAAGATTTGTCGCGCTTGATGGAGCAGGAGGCAGATGCGCATGTTGGACATGCGCTGGGAGAGGCGAAGAGAAGCTACAAGCGCAAATTTCCCAAAGGCCCGAAGTTGAAGAGGGGGGAGAAGGCCGACTCGTGTCGGATATATGGTAGTCTGGAAGGGAATAAGGTGCAAGGTGATTTCCATATTACGGCGAGAGGCCATGGGTATTTTGAGTTCGGGGAACATTTGAGTCATGATGGTACGTTTCTTTCCTAAAAACCTGGACCCAGGGCTTTTTCCAGCTTCCGTTCTTTTGAATAACTAAACAATATTGATGTAAAAAATTAAAACTAGCATTCAATTTCTCCCACATGGTAACTGAATTATCCTTTGGCCCACACTACCCCTCGCTCCTTAACCCCCTCGACAAAACCATCTCCGTCACACCAGCCCGCTTCTTCAAATTTCAATACTACTTGTCTGTCGTGCCAACCATCTATACGCGCGCTGGCATTGTCGACCCTTACAACCACGTCCTCCCAGACCCCACAACAATACGCCCTTCCGAGCGCGGGAGCACCATCTTCACCAACCAGTACGCCGCCACCTCTCAGTCCCACGAAGTGCCTGATCCGCAGTATCATATCCCCGGTATCTTTTTTAAATACAACATCGAGCCGATTCTACTGGTTGTTAGTGAAGAGAGGGGCAGCCTGCTGGCGTTGCTTGTGCGACTTGTGAATGTTTTAGCCGGCGTGGTGGTGGCTGGTGGTTGGTTGTTTCAGATTAGTACGTGGGCGATGGAGAATTTGAAGAAGAGGCGGGGGAAATCGGAAGGAGTGCTGAATGGGAAGGTTACTGGCGATGAGGATGAGTGAGAGGTGGGTGCGTGTAAGGGAGAAATGAAACTCTACGTTTTTTTTGGGATTCGTATTTCTCTATTCACATGGCGTGTTCTTTTTCCGCACAATGTTTTACTACATTTTTGTATGTCTTGGGTCTCTCGCAACATTTCGATTAGGTATTATTTCATTTTTCATGGTTTCTTTCCTATTTTCCCTCCGGGCGTTGCAATTATCAGTGAATGATAGAGTTATCAACTTAGCATTTCGTGTCATCTCGTGTCTTAACCCTTACTGAGGCAGTTTAACTGGTTCGTCTACGATGGAGAACTACGGTCCGCTTCATGCCAGCAATGAGGCATTTTGCAGTCATTGAGGAACCGGAATTGTGATGGAGAATGTGTTGGTTTATTTTTCATTGTCGGCAACCTTCAGGAAAGCAAAGGGTTGTTGTCAGGGGTTATAGTTATAGCCAAACAATAGTATACAGACAGCGAGAAGTAAGCGAACCCCTTGACCATCCAAGCCACGCCATTCCGCTAATATCACAAAACAATAGGAAACAAAACAAAAAAACCGGATAA